ATTTTTGTTAACTTTTTTGTAAATTTTGGTTTTATAAAATTTTAAAAACGGTTTGATTGACAACTAAACCATAAGAAATCGATGTCTAAATTTTAGTTAACATTTTAGTTAGATTTTTTTTTTGTTTATTTCGAAGACATTAGAAATGGTAAATTTCTAATTTGTTTTTTATAAAAAAGTTTCTGGATTTTTGTTCCTAAATTTAGGTTTAATCTAATTTTAAAAACGATTTGATTGAGTACGAAATTAAATATTTAACCATAATAATTTAGACCAGTTTATTTTGAGTTTTTTTTACACATCATGAGATAAGAACCAATTAAAAATGACACGTAATTGGAAAATATGGCTAAACAGTATTTTTACGGCCGAAACTCATTCTGGAGCTGACACGTAAGCAAGATGCTGTGAACGCGATACGTAAGCAAATCACTACACAAATAAGTATATAGATTACACTATGTCGTACATAAAAAATCTGAAGTGCAAAAAAATAAATCTATATATTATATTATATCGTGCATAAAAATCTGACCTGAAAAAACGTAACATATATCCATATTATAATTCATCTTTTCTTATAGTTTGAAATCAACTTTTAATTAATATGTTCTTGACTTTTTACCTTCTTTAGTTTAACTATGATTTTGAACTTTACATATTTAAATTTTAAATATTTAAAATAAAAATAGTAATTATGCAAGTATCTAATGTTTATATATTGATTCAAGAGTAATTAATTTTATTTGGATTCAAGTAATGAATCGAGTGGCCGGACACCCCTTACTTTTTTTATAAAAGATACCAATATGTTATATATTTATCCAGTGTCTATGAATCGAGTAGAAGTACCGAAATTTTATTATACTACCGTAACGACAAATCGGATGTCGAGTATCCAAAAACCAGGATTTGAATCTTGAATCTGTTAAAATTTCGATGGAGAGATGTATAAGCTCAATTATAATTTGGCCTAAAACTCGTAGCTCAATTAACAAAAATTATAAGTACATGCCCATTCTAACTCTATTAGTACGAATGCCTACTTAGAATTCGACTAATCTTTATATTATAATTTAAGTAGATATTTACATAAATAAATTTTTATTTGTAAACTATTATAGAATATTTTATATAAATGAACATTTAATTATAAGATATTACATAAATAAAATTTTATTTATATAATATTACATAGATAAATTTTACAAATATAGAAAGCTCAATTAAATACTCTTTCATAAGAGATACTTATATATAGAGCTTACAGATTTGTTTTGAATATATATGGATATAAATCAAAAATATATTTAGTTTTTTATTTATTAAAATATTAAAATATATTCTATTATTTTAAATAATAATCAATCTATATATATAAAAAAATCTATTTAAATTTTTGCAATATTTTATTTATATTTTCATAATTAATTAGTATCATTTTCAGATATTAATTCATTACTTTTACGGATTGGTCGAAAATTTTTTTTAGTAAATTGTAAAATAGATTAAGTAGACGGATTTATCCACTTTCACAATCGTATATATAATCATTATTAACACATATTATAGAATTCACTAACTAAAAATGATAGTTTGATCTCAAATATAATATTCACAATTGAATTCTTATTTTTAATATATATATATATATATATATTCTAATCCATGTTAATATGCGTATAAGTATATATACTTTAACATTATATCACTATTAAATTTAAAAATTATTAATAATTAAACCGCATAATAAAACTAGCTCAAAGTCTTATTCGATGATTTATTTACAAGTAAATATTGGTTGTGTAATATTTATACATGTATTGTTATTTAATTACTACTAATTTTATTTATTTATATTTTATGTTAAAATATTTTTGTCATTAATTTTAATTTAACTAAAAAGATTTGAAAAAATATTATTCTGCACAATGTGCGGGTTAAATCCTCCTAGTTGACATATTATTTTCAGTTATAAACGTTATTGAGCAGCTTACATGATGGTGTAGCGAGAAAGAATATGTGTTTGTTAGACATATACAGTAAAACTTCTATAAATTAATAATGTTAGAACCATAATATTTTATTAATTTATCGTGATATTAATTTATCTATAAATTAATAATTATTAATTTATAGAAAAAATTGCTTTCCACATATAATTTTTTAAAAATTTTATTTAGAATAATGTTATATTTTAAAATTTGAACAAATCTCATAATATAAATTATGATTCAAAACCATAACTATCACAATAAAATAGTTTTTCACCATATTGGATTTCCATATAAAAATATATATGTTCATAAGTTTAAAATTTATAAAAAAAGCTATGGCTACTATCAGTATTATTGATGATAAAATTGAAGATAACACTACAATACATTTAAAAATATTTACATGTAAGAAAATCAATTATCACATCAAAAAATCATCACAAATTTTAAATATATATAGTAAAACAGCAATAAAAACTACTGATATAATAATTAGAGAGATGAGAACCAATGAGATTTCAAGTTTAACTAAAAACAAATACATTAGTCATACTTTAAAATATTAAATTTACATATATTTGCATAAATTTATATAATTATTAATTTATGTTTCTGTTGGGATCATATATTTACATAAGGATTTCAAAAAAAAATTATTATCTTATTATTTTATCGAATTTGATGAATTTTTACATTGGTCCGACTTGGGACCAGCAATATTTATTAATTTATAGTGATTATTAATTTATCGAGTATTAATTTATAGAGGTTCAACTGTATATCGATTAGTGAGGTTAATGGATGTCTTGACGTTTTTTTTTTATTGTTTATATAATTGACACACGCATACTAGCGAATTGAACTTTAAATATGTCATAGTACAATCTAATAGATTAACAAATTAATCTAACAGATTTTTATAAGCACATAAAACAATATTATATAAATCATAAATCAATATGTTATTCTAATTAAATCATTAATTGTATCATAATATGACTAATTAATAAACACAACAAAACACTGAAATAGTCTATGAAATAAAGTCACTTTTCGTCCGAAAAAAGAAGGGTCACGAAATATATGTAACCCTATTTCTCCCATACATCCCGTGAATAGCCGCTGATCAGTCATGGATCCGCTGTGTTATATATATACGTAGTTCTTGTATTATGTCCTTTTCACCCTGGTTACACTGTTTGGGTGTCCTTGACATTTTAAAGCCGTTGGATCTGCAATCTATATTCTATAGGTCGTGACTCGTGACTTGTGACCCGTGAGGTAAATAGACGTCAGACTCAGGGAGCGTGGAAACTGGACAATAATAAAACCTGGTTTTTAGTCGTGACTCGTGACAGTATTTTTCGTAGAATATCTCATCCGCATATATCAATCGACGTTACATACGACGTTATATACATATACATATATTGGAGACGTAAAGTTCCTCCGAGAAAGGCATCTTTTCTTTTTAGGTGGTCTAGGTCGATCCCAACACAAACAGTGCGAATCTCGGTTGTTGTCGTGTAAGTTTGTGAAAAATAAAACCAACAGGGTCATTGGCAATTGCAAAGCAATACGTTTTGCGATGAATATTTTGGCATTCATGGAATAAATGATAGTCAATTATGAAATAGCATAATATTAATCATCAGTTACGTTACGGCAAATAAAAATAACATATTTAGTAACTTGTGAACGAATACGGCTTTCCTATAGTCAGAAGAGAACATAGTGTAAATCAATAATGTGAAGGAATATATACTTGTCACGGTGGAGATGAAGAATTTTGAATGAAACCGAACCAAGAGATATACATGTTCTTGAGAATGTGATGTTATTTAACGATTTGAGGAGGGAGATCGGTCTAAACAGCTTGCTTCTAAATAATTATTGGACTCCACGTATTATAAATGTGGCCCAGGTCTGGAGATATAATTTCATGGCATCAAATGTGGCGCAGGTCTGGAGATTAATTTGTTGGTTTAGTCTGTCTAATCTCTCAAAACTTAAATGTCGACTTGCTAATAGTGACGAAATAGAGACAAAGAGATTATCAAAGGGGACCAAACCTTAAACATGCATTGTCCCTCTCTCTATTCAACTTAACTGCAAAACACATACATTATTGCTTTGATGTCAATCTACGACGAGCTACGTGTTTCTATGTAAACCTGAGAAGTTTTCATTTATTCTCAATATTTGAGTATATATATTCAATGATTAAGTTTTACTATTGTATATTTGTACATGATTCATGGAATGTGAGTACTCACACTCTCACACAAACTCAATTAACACAGAGTCAGACTTGTGAGTTATGATAGTTATGGATTAATTCACATACATATGTGTGCAACTCTATTTCACTTTACCAATCTTTTGTCCAAATAATAAAAAACGGTTCGTTATAGTAAAGCAAAATTAGCTACCAAAGTGAATGAAGTGACCAACAACAATGATGTGACGCCCTGACTATCATCGTCCATGGATCTCTCCACTCATTCTCTCGGCCCAGCCTGTTGGTTTCACCCTCCTCCAAAATATGCTATTCCGGAAGGCTCATAAATACTATTTACCATTCATGCTAATCGGCTAATCGTTATGCAAATTTTCTCCGTGTTTTGTACTCATTTATACGTAATTTTTAGTAGATCACTCATCCTTGATTGTGTGGGGTTTATTCTCCTGGATAATTTAATTTATTCATCTCCTCCACTCCTTTTTTTCCTCGCGGGTTAGGAAAAACAGAAGTGTTGATTGATTCACTAAATAGTAGTCAATTTCATTGTTCTTCCAAAATGCAACGTATGTATCAGGTTTCGTATCATCGACCCCCAACCCAACTATATTAAGGCCCTAAAGCCCAATAATATGAGTTCTATTTCTGTTATAAAGCCCATCCACAACTATATTTTTAAAAACTTTTGGTGTAGAGATTTTGGTGTGTGTGTTGTTCAAATGAATCCCATCCACATAAACACAGAAAAGCCAAAGCACGACTCTGTTTACTCATTATCTTACTCTGATCAATGGCTCCAATCATACCACTTCACCGTACACCCCTTCAATCTCCTCCAGTCCTCACGAAAACATGCTATTAAACATCTCTTCCTCTCCAATTTCTCACCGGAATCCTTACTTCCTCTCCAATCTCAACAATCCCACATCATATTTCCCTCGGCGATCCAAAACCCATCTCTCAAAATCTTATCTTTTTCCCAGTCTCCCTACTTTATCGAACCAGAGCCTCAAGAACAAGGTTTCGTTCGGAAACAAGAGGTTCCCAGATGGAGAACGGATCGATTTCAGGTCGAGAGCTCTCCCCGGGATTGATTTAGGAAGCTTCGAATCAGTTCTAGAAGCTACTGCTGTTCTCACCGCGATCATCGTCGTCCACGAATCGGGTCATTTCCTCGCTGCTTCTCTTCAAGGGATCCATGTGAGTAAATTCGCAATTGGGTTTGGTCCGATTCTTGCTAAGTTCGATTTCAACAACGTCGAGTACTCGCTTAGGGCTTTTCCTCTAGGTGGCTTCGTTGGTTTCCCTGATAACGATCCCGATAGTGAGATCCCAATAGACGATGAGAATCTCCTTAAGAACAGACCGACTCTAGATAGATCGATTGTAGTTTCAGCTGGAATCATCGCCAATGTGATCTTCGCTTACGCTATAATCTTTGTCCAAGTGTTATCCGTTGGTTTGCCTGTACAAGAAGCGTTTCCTGGTGTTCTTGTTCCCGAAGTTAAAACCTTTTCTGCTGCTTACCGTGATGGGTTGCTTTCCGGCGACGTTATCCTCTCAGTGGACGGCACTGAACTCTCTAAAACCGGCCCTGACGCTGTCTCTAAGGTCGTTGACATTGTCAAAAGAAACCCAAAGAGTAATGTCTTGTTTAGAATCGAGAGAGGGAACAAAGATCTCGATATTCAGGTCACACCGGATAAGAACTTTGATGGGACGGGGAAGATCGGTGTTCAGCTATCTCCAAATGTTAGATTCACTAAGGTGAAGCCGAGGAACATCCCTGAAGCATTTAGGTTTGCAGGGAAGGAGTTTATGGGGCTATCGACTAATGTATTGGACGGTCTTAAACAAACGTTCTTCAACTTCTCTCAGACAGCAAGTAAAGTAGCAGGTCCTGTGGCAATCATTGCAGTGGGAGCAGAAGTGGCGAGATCGAACATCGACGGTCTTTACCAGTTCGCTGCGTTGCTGAATATCAACCTTGCGGTGATCAATCTCTTGCCATTACCGGCTCTTGACGGTGGGACATTGGCTTTGATATTATTGGAAGCGGTTAGAGGAGGGAGGAAGCTTCCTGTAGAGGTGGAACAAGGGATTATGTCTTCAGGTATCATGCTTGTGATATTCCTTGGATTGTTTCTCATTGTCAAGGATACACTTAGCCTTGATTTCATCAAGGAAATGTTGTAGTTATCTCTTTTGCTGAAAGAAAAGTGTTTTGATTTAAGGAAGAGAGAAACTTTAGTGTGAAGATGTCGAGAGTTTTAGATACAAAAAAACAAAAATTGGTTCCAAATACAAATACATGGTGATGAATTGATGGTACATATCCATGTAATATCTCTCTACTCTGTTATCCACTATAAAAGATGTTTTGTTTTTGTTTTTGTAAAGAAAATCATCGAAATTGTTGTGGTCTTACCGGGTTTTCAGTGTGAGCTCGATAAAGTGTTACCGAGTATAAACTGATTACGGATTGGTCTTGAACTCGTTAAGATGATACCTGGTTTGCATCTCAAAGTTACCTTTAGATAGATGTATTGGTGGATTAATAACGTTAGTTAGTAAGCATTTTGTACAAGGGGAGATGCTACGTTAAATACTTATCTATAATCCAACTATAGTGTCATTTACAGTTTATAGTAAGGCAGCTAATTCTTTTAAGCTCGTGTTCCCTTCTGTCTCTCGAACTCCATCTCCCTTCTGCATTTGAGCATTGCTCTTGATCTTGAGACTTGAGAGTTTGCTAGGGAGTTTTAAATTCAGATTTTTTTTTTCTGAAACAAAAGAGAATAAGTCCCATAGGGAACTCCATCTCCCTTCTGCATATATTTTTTCAATTCAAAACCTTTTTAAATAGAGGCCCAAAATTTTGCTTCATCTTTAGTATCTTAGGACCGACTCACGTGAAGGGGACAACGACGTTTTGACCAGTAGATCTAATTAACCACGTAAAATCAGCAAGCAACGTCTTCTAAATTTGTACAAACGCTAGAGCTTTTAGATTTTGAAATAATGAAAACACAATGACGAAAATATATAGAGTACTTTTGCGTCAAATATAGTAATATGGTCAAATGAACGTAGATACATATGGAAAGTAATATTAAAGGTACGCTCTCTCAAACTAATGTGAATGATCCAATGAATGAGGGAACTGGATGACAAGTTACAACAATATGTACTGTATTTTTAAAAATGTATATTTTTGAACAAAGAAAAAAATCCATATTATTTTAAATATAATATTCAAAATAGTTAATAGGTCAAATCTTGAAACTATTACTAGTTCCCCGTCCTGTTTTTTCTTATTTTAATCAAGTCTACTGACACAGTTCGTAATTGAGTTACATCTAATTAACCACACTCTGAGTTTTTACTGGTGTGTATCAAGTCTTCCCCAAATAGAAACTTTAGTTAGTGATAGTTCAACTGGTATAGGAAAGAACAAAACATCAACTAAAGTCCAATTTATTTCTCAAAAAAAAAAAACAAAAAACAAAATTCCAATTTAAGTTTTACAGGTCTAAATCATAACCCTCTGCTGGTTAAGGTCTTTTGTTCCTCTGTAAAAAACTTTGGTTTTCATAGGTTCCCTCTCTCACTCCTTCTTCATCCTCCTTATTTATTAAGTAGCTTTTATTTTGAGATGAATGGTTTCATCTCATTCCCTTGTTGTAAGCCTTATTATTAATTCAAGCAAGCCCTTTAATAAAAAAAGTCTAAATCATAACATGTCCTACAAAATCAATGTAATAGGTTTGAACTTCTCTATTATAAATATTATTTATTACATATATTTTTAACAGTTTCTATTTTAAATGTAAAGGATTTGCCATCACATTCAAATTATATCAAAAAAATATGTAGTCAACCCTATATAATGTTATTAGACATTATTTTAAAAATATTTTCACCAATAAATTTATTTAACATTAAAATCATTTTCAAATAAAAAACAGTTTAAGTGCATTTAGCATTATTTTTTTAAAAAGAAACTTAAAAAGAGTTTTTTGATGTAAAAATATTTTGTTTTCATCACTATGTGTAACATTCAAATTATTTTCAAATATAAATCAGTTTATGTTCATTCGCAACTTTTAAATTTGTTTTTTTTTAATTTATATATCGTTCTCTCAATGTTCTGAGACTTTATCATTTGATTACAGATTTTTAACTTCATATAAATATTTCAATCACAATTTCAATCTTCAAATTATTTAAAAATAGACCAACACTGCATTGCATGTAAAATTATTTAAAATTTCTTTTTCTAAAAATTTATAGGCGGATTTTTCAATGTAGCCAAACAAAATTTGCCAAGCAATAGTGTTTCAAAACTAAATTATTTTTAAAAAAGAAATTTTTTTTCCATTCAACCATTTTTAGATATATTTCAAAAAATTTTGACAGATATTTTGATATTGCCATACAATTTTAACCTAAATATTTTTTTTATCAACTACAGCGTGTAACATTTAGATCATTTTTTTTTTGGTCAAGAACATTTAGATCATTTCTTTTTTTTTTATGGTCAAGAACATTTAGATCATTTCTTTTTTTTTGGTCAAGAATATTTAGATCATTTCTTTTTTTTTTGGTCAAGAACATTTAGATAATTTCTAATTTATAAAAATTTAAATGCATTCAACGCTAATAAAAATAAAGTAGTCAGACGCGTTGAACGTGTGAATTACTTACGAATACGACAAAAATAGAAAATTAAATAAAATTACCTTAATTACCTCTTAATAGCTGGCAAACAAATCCTTGAACCGGAATGTTTTAATACAATTTGACACGTTGCCGGCATATTTGCTCTAAAAAAGAATTGTGTAACATTTAGATAATATATAAATCATAAACAGTTAAATGCATTCACCGGTAATTATATTTTCTTTTTAAAAAAGTTTACGAATCTTTGAGTTTTAATGAGTAAAATTATAGTAATTATCTCTTAATAGCTGGCAAATATTACCTTTTAACAGAGTTTTAATAAAAAAAAATTATGAATCTTTGAAAAGGAGTATTTTAATAGAATTTGACATTTTAGAGTATTTTAAGTTACATATGTACGATAAAATAAATAAATAAAATTATCCTAATTATCTCTTAATAGCTGGTAAAAAAAAATACTTTTAATAGAGTTTTAATGAAAAAATTAGAAATATTTGAGGAGGAGTGTTCTAATACAATTTGACACAATTCGACACTTTGGAGAAGAAGTAATTGCTTAGAAGACTCAAACTCCTATGATAAAAATGTGCCCATATGAAAAGTGATCATGCCAACGTAATTTTGGATGAAATATCGCATAAAATGACTTTTGATTTATCTTTATTTTCCTCTATCCTAAAAAAAAGATAGTAATGAATCATTACATTAAAAAGAAAAAAAAATAGAGCGAGAAGAAAGACAGAAAAGGCGTGGGGGAAAAAGAAAAGGAGGAAGACAAGTAAAATAAGAGAAAAACGCGTCTTTGAAGAGAACGTCCCATTCCATTAGGCATGCAATGCGCGGCCGTGAAAGAAGCTCACTCCTCTCCTTAAAAAAAAATAAAAAATAGTTATATAAATTAGAAATACATCATTTTAATCTCTCTCTCATTTTCCTTAATGTTTATAGCTAGGTCATACATAATTCGAGTGTTTGTCTATGTTTCGTAAAAGTTGATTAATGGGTGGAACAAGTCATTTTCATTTAGATTCTGTGTTAACATCAATAAACGGCTTTGACTAATAACTATGGATTATTGATGACGACTTATAAACACAATTTAGAGATTGGAATATATGAGATTTGAGACAGAAGAGGTGGTAATTTATTTTATTTTTTAAAAAAGAGAAATTATAAACTTTTTTAATATCTAGAAATTAAAAACTTTTCATCATTATCATATCACAATCTCTTTTTTATCTCGAATTGGTCTGAAGACAGACAACTATCCTCTCTCATCAAACTCATTCTATAAATTCTTAAAACCTCTCTGTCTTCTCTATAAGGAAAGACCAAAGAGACGAAGAAAGAGACAAAGAAGCCATTAAAGTTTAAATAAAGCACGTAATAACAACAAATTATTACGTAATAATACCAAAAAAAAAATTATATCACTTCCAAATATACACCAAACACACCCCAAAAAGAAAATTCATCCTTTCTTCCTCTCTCTATATATCTAATTCATAACACACAAAAATACTTATATATACAAATATATACACATATACAAACATCGTATATATCAAGTAAACAGAGAGAAAAGAAGAAAAAAATCTCCTCTTTTTCCTCCTTGATCGGAGGGTCGCCGTCTTCATCAGAAGGATATGGACGGTGTTGGAGAGATGACGGCGACGGAGGCGAGAGGGTTGAAGAAAGGGCCGTGGACGGCGACGGAGGATGCGATCTTGACGGAGTACGTGAAGAAACACGGCGAAGGTAATTGGAACGCGGTGCAGAAAAACTCAGGCTTGCTCCGGTGTGGAAAAAGCTGCCGTCTACGGTGGGCCAATCATCTCCGGCCAAATCTGAAGAAAGGATCTTTTAGTCCTGATGAAGAAAAGATCATCATCGAGCTTCACGCTAAGCTGGGAAACAAATGGGCTCGTATGGCTTCTCAGGTTTTTTTTTTCCTTCATTACACAACTCTTAACTTTTTTTTTCTTCATTTAAAAAATAAAAATAAAATTTTTTTTTTCTAATCTTCTTATTGGTTTCTTCAATTCAAGAGCTTTAATTTTTTTTTATGGAATTAGATTTTTCTAGTTAAACACATAAATTGCATGTTTCAATGTGTTTTGAATCTCTCTCTCTCTATCTCTTGGCATAATTAATCTTGCATCTCTATTTTTTTTTTTTGGATTTAAATAATCTCTAATGTTTTTGTTTGATTGTTTTTTATAATTTTTTTTTTTGATATTGTAGTTACCTGGACGAACAGACAACGAGATCAAGAACTATTGGAACACGAGGATGAAGAGAAGACAACGAGCGGGTTTGCCTTTATACCCTCAAGAGATTCAGCATCATCAACGAAATGATCATGATGATGATGATGATGAGTTTGAGTTTGAGTTTAATTCCTTTCAATTCCAAAACCAAGACCATCATAATAATCACCTTCAATACACTAATTCTTCCAATACTTCATCATCCTCTTCTTCATTCTCTTCTTCGTCTTCTCAACCTCCAAAAAGGCTGTGTTTAGATCCCTTAATCTCTACTAATCCAGTCCTAAACCAGATCCCGGACTCTCCAATGAATTTTCAAATGTTCTCTCTTAATTACAACAATAGCCTTGATCATCAGAACGAAAATAACCAGTTTGGTTTCTCTCTTCCTTTGTCATCATCCTCATCGTCTAATGAGTTGTGCAACCCCAACCAACTTCTTGAGCTCATCTCCGAGAGTTTTGACACAAACAATACCAACAAGATCAATGACATTGATGCTATGAGTTATAGTTCATTGCTTATGGGGGATCATCATGATCAGATCATGAGACCGAGTTCTTTCCCTTTAGGACTAGACAATCCCGTCCTAGAGCTTCCTTCATACCAAACACCGACCCATTCGCTCACTTCTAATACCATTCTTGAAAATGGTGTCAATCTTGATCCACCTGCTAGCAGCAACAGTGGATTGCTTGACGCCCTCTTGGAGGAGTCTCAAGCCTTGTCTCGAGCAGGAATCTTCAAGGACGTTAGGGTTTCTCCAAATGATCTACGTGAAGATCAAGACAAGACAGTGAAGATGAAGTTTGAGAATCGGTTAATGGATCATCTAAACTCTTCTCATCAATCATCATTCGGTAAGAACTTATGATTTTGTTAAAACCTTTTTTTCAATATTCATAATTTAGTTTAACCATTAATTTATATATTGAGTTTAAGAAAACAGTAATCAGAGTATGGATCTTTGGTAATATCGAAGAAATATATATTGGATTTGTCTTTGCCTAATTTACTCTTTCATCTTAACTAGTGTTTAATATTTGTTGAATGAACAGAAACAAACCCTAATCATTACAAACAGTACAATGAGCCAACGATGGTGAAGGCAACGGTGGATGATGATGACGACATATTGATGAGCCTTCTCAACAACTTCCCTTCGACAACACCATTACCTGATTGGTACCGGACGACAGAAATTCAAACGGAAGCCTCACCGACCGGAATCTTTGTCGGAAACCATCAAGTTAACAACAACAAGATGGAACCATACAAGGCCCAACCTTCGTCCGGTGTGGATCCTATGGCCTCGTTGGGGTCATGCTATTGGGGCAACATGCCTAGAATTCGCTAATTTGGAACCACCCCTCATGAGCAAAATCATTTCTTTGGTCTTTGGAGAAACAAAAGAGAGAGAGCTAATTGTGAGCTTGATTTGGCTCTGTTTGTGTAAAATCTTGTTTTAAGTTGTTCAGTTTAAGATGTGCTATGAACTTTATGTTAGTACATGTTTTCAAGGGGCCAAAAATCAAAAGAGAAATGAGAAATTTAAATGAGATGAGACTGAGCTTTCTAGTTTTCTGTTTGTTAACTCATGTCATATTCAATCAATTTTATGCAAGGATGACACACACAAAAATCGAATTTGTAGCTGAAAATGAAATGTTACAAAAAAATATTTGGATATTCTAAGTCCAATTTTTTTTTTTGTTGAATCAATTGTAAATACACATGCATAGTATGAAAATTGATCATTAGTTTTCCAAGTGGAAGATAGACGTGAACGTTTATAACATATTCTCCAGAGGACAAAAACACTGATAGTTTCTTTCACTAAAATATTAATTTGAGGACGAATTCTGATTTTGGATTTGATAGTTTAGATTTATTGCTTACTGATTGGTTTGTTTTAGACTTTTAGTTAATTACCATGTATGTCACAATCAATTAACACTAGTGGATTACTGGTGCTAAACCCAAGTAGTGTACCACCTAAAAAACTACATTTTGAGGATCTAAAACTAGAATTAACCGGGACAATAAACGCCATAGGATTAGATTTTTGCGAAGAAGAATATTACACACGCTAGGAAGAGTTGAATAAGGAAGAGCTTATAGAGTAGAAATTCAGGGAGGAGTAATGTGATTGGGTAAGGAGCGGACTACTTGCATACACTGCCATTGGCTTATGTCATCTGCAAATTATTCCACACTCTTCCAAGAAATAAGCTCCTTAAATTTCGGTACCTCAAGAAAGAAAAATAGAAATGAAGATAAATAATATATATTGCAACTAGTCGATGAATGTTTTTTTACATAACCTTTATATACTTGCACCTTATCTGAGTTCTCTGACATCATGCACACTACACTTCTTTGATCAAATTGATTTGCCATTGGAATACTCGGCCAAGCCTGGAATGTTAGAAATGACATTTAAAAATATGGATACAGTATAGTATACCATTCACGACCGTTGACAAAATCATAGCAATCTGAAAAAATAATCAAAAAAATCAATTTTAGAGTACAACAAAAAAAAGTTATAATAATAGCTGCTCACCAACGAACACTTCATCAAAAGTAGTAGTATACACACAACTTAAACAAATTAATATAGAAACAAACAAAAAAAAACTACAAATTAATGAACAAGAAGAAGATCACACAAAAAAAAAAACCTTTTGGGTTATTTTTCAAGTGGCTATCGGTTTTTTATGAGACTGCTTTGAAAAACAAACACACTTAGCTTTCATGGCTTCCACTTCACTCCCATATTCTCTGAACTTATATTCCTCCTGCTGTTTAAACGCTGGAGGAACCTTCCCTTCGCTATAACACTGGTTACAAAGGCTAAACCCGGTTTTCACTTCCTTAAACCGAGATCCAATGATCGGGTACCGACAAACCGAGCAAACCTGGTTACCATGTCTATTCCTGTCTCTTGTTTCGAGTTTAACAACAGTCGACATGATACCAAAACCCCACTCTGAATCATCGTACATCACAAGAAACTGGTTGAATGTTACCGTGGAAGTATCAGTTTCTCCATGAACTTCTAACATCTCGCTCATTCCCTGTGACGGTATGTAGATAGCTCTCAAAAGTTTCATGTATTTGACAGCATCCGCTTTTGTTATCTGAGAGCTTCCTTCGTTTCCAGGTCTCCAAAGAAGCGCATCAAAAGCAACTCTTTTCCTTTTCTCTGGATGGCCACCGCACAAAGGAGCAATCACTGCGTAGAACATTCCTAAATCCACTCTTCCCGACCCTGAATCATCGAGCACCGAGAGTATTCTCTCGTTTATGGCCTTGATCGCTCCTTGGAAAGTTTCTGGTTTCAGGACGTTAAGCAGACGCCGGAGAATCTCTTCCAAGTTTGGTTTCCTTATAGATTTCGTGGGAGCTCCATTGCCGGAATAAGATACAGGGACATCGTTGTCTCTCATCTCTTTACTTAATGCTTCAACATCGCATTTCACCAGCCTTGTAACTCTCTGGAAGGCTCTAATCTGAAGAGCTGTTGCTAAATCTGGTCTCAGAGTAGTCTTCTCGCCTACCGTCTTGAACTTGGAAGGTTCCACAATGATAAACGGAGCTTCTTCATTCACACTATTACCGTTGTTTTTGACCTTCTTCTTCTTCTGCAACTGTTTCAGATGAGATATCGCATCGTGCAACTCAACTCTGTTAGTCATTTTCAGAGCTTCCTTTAAAGCTCTTTTAGCTTCTTCGGTCTCTCCAGCACCCAACAAAGACACAGCCTTGTTGAGCTGTGCCCTCCAATGGTTAGGCCAAACCGCTAAAACACGAGTGTACATCTCGGAAGCTCTCTGAAACCTTCCCAAATCCATGTAAAGACCACCGAGGTTATAAAGAGCATCGACATGACCAGGCTTCAAGTCTATAGCTCTCTGGAAAACCTCAATAGCTCTCTCATCCTCTCCCATAGCATGAAGCGACGACGCCAAATCACAATGTGCATCTGCATAATCCGGTTTCAAATATATAGCTTCCTCTAAGGCTTTCACAGCCGCTCTATACTCTCCAACACCGAACAAAGCACTACCTAGAAGCTTCAAGGCTCTATAATGTCTTGGACAAAGAATCGCAGCCTCTCTATAATACTCACAAGCACTAAGCACCATACCTTCGCCTTCGAGGGAGATACCGAGGTTGACGTAAATCTGAGGAAGCAAGTAAGCCCATTGATTCCCACCTGACTCAGCAGCTTCCAAAGCTAGCAAAAACTCGTCTTTCGACTCTTTACACTTGCCCAAAGCGTAGAGACAGTTCCCAGCTTTGAAATGAGGCCTCACATCTATCGGTTGCAGCTCGCAAGCTCTCTTGAAGCTAACGAGAGCTTCTTTAAACAATTGGTGCTCATACAAAACCTTACCAATCGCCATGTGTCCATCGAAAGCTTCTTCCTTTGATCTAGCACCATCTGCTTTGCTCCTCAAGACTCCTAATTCCTTGACGAACACTGTGTAATCGTGGCTTGATTCTTCCCAGAAGACTCTCTTATCGGATAAATCCGACGAAGGACCAAGCTCTCTCGACCATCCGGCGTCGGAGAACGCATCCAAGTTATCGGCTTTCGGTTTCCCGTCTCTCTCCTGCTTCGATTTCAATCTCTTGACAAGAATCTCCAAATCGTCGACGAGCTTCCACGTCTCGTCGAAGACGATGCCGTGGTTAGGCGAAACCGCCCAAGCCGCCGTTCTCTGCTGCTTCTGCGCTTCCACGACTCTCTCGTCGGCAATCGAAGACGAAGAAGCTTCCGAGCCCTTTGTGTCATCGGCGTTGAATTCGAGACCCAGAGCGTCGAAATCCCGATCGACGTCTCCGGCACCGTCGTCGTAAGTACGGAGAAGACCGTCGTAGGTCAAACCTCTGTCTCCGTCGATGAATTCAGCGTAGGTTCGAAACACTTCGTCGAGAATCGCGCTAATCTGCTCGTCGCTGAACTTCACCCTCGGATTCACGGCCACGACGAGAGCCGACATCTCTTGCCGGTTTAATCCACCGTCACGATTCCCATCGAATTGCTGGAAAATCCTCTTAACTTTCTCAGATCTGCTTCCTCTGGTCGTCATTTTTTCACCGGGGAATAACAGAAAATAAAAATCCAACCTTTTTCCCTCTCCCCAAATAATTAGGGCTCAAAAAGAAGTAACAACCAGAATATTGAAATCGAATAGCAAAAGCGAGTTTACAGAATCCAATGTAGCGAAACCCAAAACAGGAAAATTACATGAGATTGAAAGGGAAAAAACAAGAGTTATGACAGATCAATTTCGGGGCTTCGTTGCGAGAATCGTGATAAATTGATGATGAATGTTCTTAATCCGAATCTGTGTAATGAAAAGTTGCTATATTTTTTTAAAAAAAATAAGATTAAGAAGAAATCAAAGGGTCCAAAGAGTCCGAGCTGTCTATTTGTTGTCTCTGTGTATTGCTCTAAACTCAGATAGTGGACAGGAGATAACGGTGTTGTTGTACTGTGCTGTGTGGGCTTTACTTGCTCTTTTATCTTTAATTAATTATTAATTTATTCTTACATAATATTTAGAGAAGAAGTACAACTATACAAATAATTCAATAGTCAATACCAACAAATTCAGTATTTAAATTTTTAGAATTCAGTTCTCCACTTGTATTAGATGTTTGATAGAACCATTTAGATAATGAGAGAAAAAATGATGCATTACTGGCTATTAAATGCAAATGGAAGAAAAAAGTTCTTTCCTTTTCTATACTTTTAGTGATGATGCTTAATTTAGGTAATAATCAAACCAATACTCTGGCAAACCGATAAAAGATGATTAACATTAACTTTTGAAAATCCTTCGAACCATGGATACATATATTTGCTAGCAAACCGAGTTCAAAACCGAACCGGTTTGGATAAAAGAGTCAGAGACAATGGAAACCATGAGTAGAAGCTTATATTTTGGTAAAGAACCTACAAGTTTGAAGATGATTACGGCGTCGTTTTGGTGATTCTTGCCAAGCAATTATCTTTGGGTCTGGTGTGTGGCAAGAACATCACCGGACAACCGGGATTGCTCCGTTCCACCCTGCGATTTCACCATTGGAAACAAAACATTATGAATCTGCAGCTTAATACAGAGTGAGAACTAGAAAGCTGAGCTATAATATACAGAGAGAAGAGAGAGAGTTACCGATATTTGAGGAGGAAATGATGAAGAAAAATGGAAATCTCGAGCTTGGCAAGATCGTTTCCTGGGCAAAGACGGCTTCCTAAACCAAAAGGAAGGAATGTACCTGCTTTTGGTGTGTATCCCTGTAGAACGAACCAGACAATGTTCAGTTCCTTTTCACATATAAGAGACTGCAAACACAGTTTGATTGCACAATCTGTATACCTCCCATCTTGAAGGATCAAATTTCTTCGGATCCGGGTAGGTCTCAGGGTCCAAATGGACGTCCCTAAACCAAGCCAGAACCTTCCAGCCTTTTGGTATGATATAGCCTGAATACAAAACATATGAGCAATGAAACGTTTTAAGATGATTTACCATGTTCCATGTAGGTAAATGAGTATACTGACCGTTCATTTGGACATCACTCTTTGCTTCCCGGAAGGCCGTAAGAGAGAATGTTATTACTCGAAGTGTCTCATCAATAACCTGGTAAAGAAAAACTCGTTGCTATCAGTAAGAGATTGTGTAAAGATTATACTAATTACAAAAGCCAAGAAACTTGTGTTGCAATGAAGCACCTGTGAAAGATACTCCATTTCACGTGTTTCTTTAAGAGTCAAACTCTGGCCCGGCGCTCTTTTCTTCACAATCCTCTCTTGTTCTTCCTATGGTACAACAACGAATAGCACAACTCAAGACTGTAAACTGAAATGGAAAGGAAAAAAAAAAAAAAAAGACAGCTTCTCTTACCTTTGCCTTTTTTAGAATCTCAGGGTGTTCCTGCAGGAAAATGGTAGCCCACATAATGGTGTGTCCAGAGGATTCATGACCCGCATTTAGATACATCAACAAAACATCTATAATTTCTTCATCATCTAAAGTTCTTCCGTTTTCATCTTCAGCATCTATTAGATTATCCAGCATGTCTTTTTTATTGGATGACATATCCTGCTTCCTTTGGTTTCTTCGGTTAGTCACTATGGACTGAAAGGCAGCTACAAGTTTTTTCCTTGCCTGTATAAATGGAAAAATACTAATCCTCAAATCACCAGGGATATGCATAAGGGTAACCAAAAGTCACAAAGAAAGAAAAAAAAGGGTCTTTTACCTTCAGTGCTTTGTGATAAGCAAACCCAGGAATATTAATAGCCATTGCTCTAACTCCATAGTTAAGGTTGGTATATTCCCGTTCCAATGCATCCATGACCTGCTCACTCTCACTGCTCATGAATACGTACATAATGATCCTAAATGTAAGCTTACGCAACTGAGTCAAGAACTCGATTTCTCCCATTTTGGACCAATTTTCTAGATCAGTAATAACAGTTTCTTCAATGAACGGTATGTAGAGAGAGAGAGCCTCATGGCCATTGACAGGAGTAGAGGTCAAACGCCTGAGCCGCTTGTGTTCTTCGAAGGATATACCGATAAAGGACTTCCTGCCAATGAGTTTCATGGTGGATTTTGGCCAGCCTGTCGTGAAGCAATCATCATCTGTTAGAACTCGCCGACAAGTCTCTGGTGTTGTTACTATCACACTTGGGTTCCCAAACATGTGTGTTTTATAAACACCGGTACGCCCATACCTGCATCATTGAGGAAACAGAGAGTAGGTCCAAGTTGTCAATTCATCTATATGGAGAAGCAAGAGAGAACAAAAAAAAGAAATCTCAACTTTTCCATCAAGAACCTAACAATCAATCTATTTTCTTCAATAAAGCCAAAATTATTGCAGAAACGAAGCACTTTGGGAGGTCTTTTGAAGAGAAAAAATCGATGTATATACCTTGTGATGTAGGATCGGGTGAAGGAATCAGGATCAGATGTTTTGAAAGCTCTAAGAAAGGAGAACATGTTGCCTATGAAAGGCCATCCCAAATCTCCTGGTGGCAGATACAGTTTCTTCTCCCCAAGTTTGGACTCATATCTCCAGACATTCACTCTCTTCAACACCCATTTCAGAACAAACAATCCCAATACTATCCAAGGGAACCACATCAGAATCGAACCCGTTTCCGTCATAGCTTCAGTTGTAACGAGGAGAAGGAAAGAGTAAGCAGATACTTTAACAAAAATCACTTTGAAGAGGCCATGGTAAGATATTATCTCCAAAAGGAGTTTTTCTTTCTGATTGAAAAAAGGAGTAAACGGACAAAGACTTCAACTAGAACAGTGGAACAGTGTTGTTGTGTCTATCAAGGAATGATACTAATCGACACTTTAAACTAAAGAACCCGACCGCTTGTTTCTATCTATTTTGTTTGGTTGCTGCTCACATGTAGTGCGAGGTGACCATACTTTCCTTTCCAATTTTAGATCTCTATCGTCTTCTCTAATCATATTCTTCTTTGAGAAAAGCAAGTTAATTTACTAAACCCTAATGTATTTTTACATATATTGATTCACATAAATGAACAACATACCAAGCAAATCGTAGAAGCTCACAGAATCAGACCTCTTGAATCCAAATCCAAACTTTGCAAAGCAATCTATATGCGAAGAAAGGAAGATTACTGTAACGAGGGGAAGAAAACACTGTGTTAAGAAGAATACAAAGACCGTAAATTGTGGTGAAGAAACTAAAGAGTAGCACACATTCCCAACACAAAAACGGTGAAAATAAATCAGAAGAAAACAATTTAACAGAAGAATCCAAAATGGAACAAAGACACAAAAACTCCAATGAATATCTCGTGAATCACAAACAAAACTTTATTTTTCGTTGGATCGATTTTGCATTCAAGCGTTACTTTTTAATTACTCTTTTGTCACCTAGAAAAATCCGTCAAATTCATCATCCTCTTTGAACAAAACCCAGATCACAAGTTTCACCACTTTAAACTAAATCACTAAAAGATGAGGAAAAGAGAAAGTTTGACCCTTTTAAGCGAATAAGAAACGAGACCAGCAGCTTCGTCTCCCACATCGTCGAGAGCTTCGGAGCAGAACAAAACTGAAAACTACAGTCCCAGGACTTGCCGGAACTGCCTTCTCCGGCATATTCTCCTACTCCTCCACCAAACACATAAACCCTAATCGGACCACCATCGAACTGTGAGACTTGTGTGCCAGTGCCACAGAGTAAAAACAGTGATCTATATTAAACATTCGAATCTTAAAAGACAGAAGGAAAGTCTAAAGTAGAAGTTATTCAAAGTTGAAATCTTATTTATTATCCAAAATCAAAGCCTAATCAAATCAGTTATAGTTTGTATTGATTTAAAAACCCACAATCTACACTCACTCCAAAAACAACGAAAAAACAGAAAGAAGCAGGCGCCTTTGCTGCTGCGGCTGGTTTTCCTTTTTACTAAAACGGAAACGCTTGTCGCAAACCGTTCTCAAACGCAAAACGCAACCTTGCAAAAGGTTCATACTTATCTCTCTCTAGTCCTCTCCTATGTAAGTAAAGTAACTATGATACAATTCATACAAACGTATATATCTCTTTGTTCCATAAAGAATATGCAGAAGAAGAAGTGTTTTCCGCGTGACCATTTTGTATGATCTATTTATATGTTGTGGATTCCGCCTCAAAATGTGGCTTTCCAAATAGCGTTTTCAGGTTCACCACATCGCTTATGAACCTCTTTAATACGATCAGCGGATCTGCAGATACCACTACACGTCCAGTCGAATGAAGCTACACATATGTTGCCAGCTTGTGCCTTCCATTCACAATCTGCAATCGCCCAAGTATATCAGATTCAATGTTTAATGACTACCTCTTACATCAAGATTTTGGTAAAGGTTATAGTGTCACTACAACTTTTGATAGTGTTTTTGTTCTCGTTTTAGCATTAAAGGAAACATTGTAGTTAAGGTGAATAGAACTAGCAATGTTCACTATTTACCACTTCACAATCATATAGAAGGTATAGAATTGAGAAGATACCAGGAGGAGTGCCGCAACATAGCCTTCTATCATCGATATGCGTAACATCAAGCCCGATAAACCAAGCACCCAATGTTACATCCTCATTCGCATACTTATGGAGAACATGCCTGAAACATTTTGTAGCACCGAGGTATTAGATGGAGAATGAGGTATAAATACAGTGCAACAGAGTTCAAATCTTACTGATTTGTGGAAATGTAAGAAGCCAAGTCTCTTGAAATGGCGTATAACTGTCCAGTAGCGTGACGGAAGTACTTGTTCCCGTTCTCACCAAATTTCCAATACTCGGGCTCATGGTATCTAACTCCTCTGCTCCATAGACAACAAAAAATGAGAGTTGGACTTTTATGGTCAAATGATTCAAAAGAAGTAAACAGAGAAATTGGAGTTTACTTTTGAGATAGGACTGGACCAGACTTCATGCAGCCTATATAGACTCGAGGTTTTTTCCTGTGTCTAACAAGAGTTTCCCCAAGAGTTGCTGTGGATGTTTCAACAAAACAATCCAACCCCATTAGAAATTGGGGAGAATGTTGAGTGAACATTTTGCATTGTCTGCTATAAGATTGTAGAGCTTACCGATATTTACATGAACATCATCATCTACTTTGACGTAGAAATCTGCATCCCACATAGAAAACGCGGTAGAAAAATATGTTTTTGTTTTCCCTGATAACTCGAGGTATCCTTCAACATGGTCCTGTTAAAAAGCATCAAGGAATCACAAATGAAGATAAGAAACTCGTAATAACGGTTTTGGACATCAAAAGCGCGAGTCAATTCGAGTAGAAGAAATACCAATCTCAAGAAATCTCCATGCTTCCTGTCCTCTGCTTCAATGGATCTGTCTAGAATTCCTCCAGCTGTTGCACTAAAGAACCAATGACAAACAACATCAGATATACAGAGAACACTTAATGTTACTCATTAACTACGTAAGAACGTGGTAATCTGACATTATACTAAAAGATTAAAACTCTCACCTATGACCAATCACAAACCGTATAATAATTCCCTTCTCTTCTTCCAACTTCTTTCTTTTTTCACCTACAAGCATAATTTTCGACAGACAAAAAAACCCATCAAGAAACATATTAATATTAGCAATCTTGAAGATGGAGAAGGTAAAAAAGTGGTGTTGAAACCTTGAGGCATCCAAGTTGTTCGAACAGAATCTCTTCTCTTTCGGCTGCTAAAAGCAGTATTAATCCCTACAACCATCAAATATCGTCTTTTCCCTGGTAATTGCTTCTTCACCATATCATTAGATATAGGAGCACCATTCATCAAAGACTCCTGAGCTGATCTTGCTGCGGCTAACTCCATTTCTAAGTTCGAAATGGTCTTATCCAATGTCCTGAAAGTTAAACAAGAACGCTTTGAAACCCCGAGAAAAGTTTTAAAAGATTATGTATTTGGATCAGTCCAGCTCAAAGATGTATCTTACTGTATAGCGTTATGAGTCTTGGAAACTTCTCCAAACAAAGCCTGTGGATCCCGTTTTACTTCTTTCTGGTAGAGCTAAAAAGAAAAGCAATTCTCAGAAATCTTGTAGAAACTCAAACCAAAAGTAGTGAAATGGATTCAGAAACACATCAAGCTCACGGTTTTCGGATCACAGCCTTCGGAGATAAGCTTCAACCTCTCAGCTTCTGTTACGGAAGGTCGAGCCATGTCTCTAGACTCCGGAATATTCCACATTCTGCAACAGTCAGATTTTTTAAGACAAAGATTTCAAATTTCTGTTTCGTAGCTTCTTCAAAGAGGTGGATCATTAATCATGTGATTAATCATGTGAGTGATCAAAAACTCAATCTTTTCCATTTATATGGTACTTATCAAGAAAATCAGAAACCAGAGAGAATAGTACAAATCCGCAGACCACATTAGAATTCATGAAAATAGACTAGAACCGGCTTCTTTCGGATCTAATGGGATTGAGTTACAAATCAGGCTCCAAAAATTGAACTAGTGAGCTTCAAATAATGGTGATGAAACCAGACAGAAAAGAGAAGACAAAAACAAAAAAAACAAAAAATCATGAAAACTTATTGTCAATTGCATAAAATAATCAGAACCCATTGAAAATACGAAACGTATTCATGACTCGATGAATCTCCGAAAAAAAAAATTCTAACCATAAGACCCAGAACACCATGTAAACAAAGGATGAACAAAATCAAACAGTCCAGAAACAGCTGGGAAATTCAAAAATTTTAATAAAATCACACCTATCGGTGAAGAACATCCCGAAGCAGAAACTCGCAAAGCAAAGTAGAAATGTCCATTTCCTCGTTACGAAGCTTCTAGAATAAAGATGCTCTCCTTTGATCTTCGTCGACATTATTTTTCACTCAACAAACCAGAAGAACAGAGATTCCCAGAAACCAAAACAGCTATTTTAAGCCGATTAACTCCATAAGAGGAATCAAAACCCTAAACCAGGCACACACCCAAAATGAAACAGTCAACAAGAGAAGCAGCTCAATCTTCTGAGCTTCCGAAACCAGAATCTGAGATTCGAATGATCCGAGAGAAATTTAAAGAAAAGAGATACTCTTAGATTTTCTTATTTTCTATGAGAGATGGTGTTAAAGAGATTCTGGCTCTTTCTCTTTCTCTCTCTCTCTGGGTCTGTATATTCGCAGGGACGTAAGAGTGGAAAAGAAGGGGACGTTGAAGAGAAGGAAGAAGAAGAAATAAGAACGACCTCTTAACCGTCCGGTTTACTTATACTAATTCGGGCTGAGAATTCCTGAAATGACCAAACTGTCCCTATCAAACCATTTTATATCCCAGCCTAGAAAATAATTACGGATAATAAATAGCAGTAAATGAATTGTTTTTCTTTTTTTTTTTCTTTGCAAGAAGTAAATAATATGAATTGATTTTACTCTGCTATTTATTGGCAAAAAAATGTATTTTTTTTTGTGAGAAAGTTACAGTGATTTTCCCATATAACTATGAGAACGTATTCTTTAAATGTAAATCCAAATTTTGACCCGGCATGCGAATGTGATTGAGATAGTTGTGATTTTTTTTTTTGTCGGTATTTAAAATACGTTCATTTGATTGGACAATATCTAGTAAACTATAGAATTAACAAATCGGTGTTAGGACACCAAATCTGATCACTACAATAGATAGTGATCACTACAATAGATAGTGATGTATACTAATTCGTGCTATATCTATAATATATCCAAAATTTGTCTTTCGCCTTTTTGGTGTTATTGTGTAATATTTAACGTTTTAGTGTATAATCCGATTATCATAAGATTGCGAGAAGCTATACTCTTTTCTTATATACAACTTTAAAATTTATTTATAAATGTTATTTTGGAGATTTTTCCTTGTGGTGTTATATAACGTAGAGGTTAAATTAAAGGAGAAGGATGAAAGAAGAAGGCGGTTGATGAGAAAGGAATGGTGGTCCTCAGCTTTTTGCAGCAGATAACACATGATCTTATAAGGCACACAAATTGATAGGATTCGTTATTTAACGACCTTTTATTTTTTATTGATCAAAATATCATTTACAGCATGAAGTCTATGAATTGGGAAGTTATACCTAATTCCGGTATCAAAGAAAAAGTAAAGGAAAAAACAAAGAAAGTAAGGGACCATATTCGATCAATATATATTTCATCAATTGACTTTTGCAACCTTCTACGGGACTAAAACAATACTCCACTTTTTTTTTTTTTTTGATAAAACAATACTCCACTATTTGTTGTTTTTCTTTTCTTATTTTTGATAAAGGGTTAATATTTGATTATTTTTGACAAATAGCTGACGCGGAACGATTGATTTAGACATCTTACGACTAACGTCGGCAGGATAGGATATAAGTTAAAATGATCGTAGTTAATAATTTAAGGATGGGCATTTCAGTTTTACTTTGACTTTGGTTTGGGTTCTTTTTTTTTTTTTTGGTTTGGGTTCAGTAGATTGAGATTTGATAGAAATCTAGCAAAATTCAAATGAAATTAGTTCGTTTTTTAGTATTATTAAAAAATAATTATAGTAACTATAGGTATCTTACAACGAAATATCTATGAATATATGATAACTTTATAACGAAAATATCAGTGGTAGGATTTTTCTCGCCATGAAATATTATGATATACATCTGATACCAAGCTAAATCTCCAATAAAAATGTCATTGCTAATTCGGTCATCTCATCAACATTTAGTGCTGATTATTTTTTCATGTTTGGTCAGATTGTTCATATCCTTTAGTGGACTTTGATATTCTTTGTTCATCTTTTAGATTTTGGCATATGCTGATTGTTGATTGTATAGGTCATGCTTCAATATTTTAAATGTAGATCGTAGGCCGTCCAACAAAATCTATAACTTTCGTTTTTGTTAGTTTAATGTGGATTCTATACAATTAACAATCAGCATATATATGCCAAAACCGACATTATATTCGATGAATTTGTGAAAAAAACAAATGATGTTATAAATTCTAATACTCTTCGTAAAACTTCAGACATATTTTAAATTCAAGATAGAATATTATACGGGCGTGAAATTGGATATGATGATTACTAAACTCAAGATCTAGTCCACTAAGGAAAAAAAATTATACATTGTTTGTCTATATTTTAAGATGCAAACATATATGCAACGTAACTTGATTACATTTTTAAAACCAACAACAAAAAAAAAAACTTGAATACATTTGAAGCCGTACATAGAAACAATCATTGAGATAGCATGAAATGATTTACCCCATCTATCGGACTAAAAATATTAATTTCTTAGAGAGAAAAATAATAGTATAAAACATAGGACACATGACTTAAAGCGTCCAAGCCAATGAATAGCAACTACTCCCACATGCATTCCCAAGTCCTTTGCATTGCTTTTGGTTGGTTAATTAACGACACTTTTCATTTGTTTGTCACCAAATGATCACGTAGATGATAATTAAATATAAAATGATTTACAATCCTCATTTGTTTTGGTGTACTAAGAAATTTGCATTTTATTAGTTAACATATACGAACATTCACTAAGAAATACATTTGAAATAAATTTGATGTTTATTAATATCATCACGGTTATCAGTTGAAATAAAATAATCAAACCGACATATATCCACACTCAACAAAATGTAAAAGACGAAAAATATTCGATATGGAAAATTCACTGATTTGTTTTATTCCTAAAGTAATCAACAATATAGCAAAATTAACACATTCAAGTATTTTTTGTGGAAAAAATCAATAAATTAGATTTTTATTCGAAGAATATCTTTAGTTTTTAATTAGAAATGTGTTAATAACATACTGCAAAGATAAGATGGATTATAGCCAAAGAAAATTGCATCAGATCAAATGCGATTATGAGAAAAGAAAATGTGGATATTCTTTCAGCAGGAAAAACTCGGAGAAACAAATCAGTAAAATTCATATTTGTTGTTTTACTGTTTTATATGTTCGTTGTTTTACAAATTTATATCACTACAAGAAAGATCGGGTTTTACGTTGGTAGATATCGACGTAAAATTGACGTAAAAGAGCATTTACGTCGAATTAACGACGAAAAAAAATCGTCGTAAAACAATCGTCGTAAAACAATCGTCGTAAAACAGAAATCGTCGTAAAATCGTCGTAAAATTACCACCCCAGGAAAATCGCCGTAATATCATCGGAAACTATTCGTCGTAAACGCGACGTAAATTTTCCAACGAAAGTATAACGAAATAAGTCCATCATAAGAACGACGTAAAATCGATGTAAAATTACATCGATTTAACAACGATTAGGAGACGAACAATTTCAATTAAGGGAAACTAATTTTTTAATTGTCGATGTTAATTCGTCGTAAAGTTTCGACGTAAATCCGACGTAAACATATTCCACGTAAATCCGTCGTTAAATATTCGACGTTAGATCGACGTAAATTTACGACGATTTTACGTCGATTTATAAATTAATTATTTAATTCGATTTTAATTTAATTAAGGAATTTTTAAAATAATCAAAAAATTAAAAATAGAAAAAAACAATTTAAATTGAAATTTAAATTCGAAAATAATTTATAAAAAAAAAATTAATACAAATTGTTTTTTACAAAAAACCTAATCTACAATGTGATTTCGTAATCGTCGAGGTTGAGATCGACGTCACGAGGAGGCTCTCCGTCTTGGCCGCCCGTCGCTGCTGGACCGTCGTTTCCCGTCTGCACTACCGGAGCCGAAGACTGACCCTGAGTCTGCTGGTCCGATGGTCCAGTACCGGAAGTACCACCGGTCTCAAAGACCCCTCGTGCTTGCTGTTGCCTCGCTCGGATTGCGGTGGCCAACTGCGGAACCGCTTCCGCAATGATGTCGAAGAGACCGTGCATCTCGGTGAGCTCCTGCTTCTGGGCCACTTGCTCATGCCTGAGAGTGGTGATCTCAGCATTGGCCGTAGCAAGCTCCTGGCGAAGATGACTCGGATCCTCGTGCGTGCAAAATCCGGAAGCCGAAGCGGCAGGACAGTCTCTAATAGAGCCCATCCCTAAGGTTCGGCCCTTCTTCTTCGGAGCAACCTACAAATGGAAAATAAAAACGTTAATTATTTATTAAGTAATAAATATAATAAATTTTAAAAAAATTGAAATAGATCATACCTCCTCGAAAATCTGGTCTTGCTCAGCGACGGTCAACGGTACTTGGATAGTACCGTCAGGTGTGGCCTGGGTCTCCCGCTCGGCGATCCGCTGCATAGCAGTATTGTAGATCTCCTCTGACCGAGCGTCGACAAAGCTCCCGTCCCTCTTCCGGTGAGTGGTCTCGAAGAGCTTCGTCATTGGAGGTAGTTCTCCTCCGTTCTCCTCGGCCTACCAATTAATAAACATTAGTCAAAAATATTTAAGAAATTATAGCAATAATTAAAAATGAAATAATAATAAAATAATTTATATTTAATTACTTACCATCATGAGACGTCTTCCCGCAAAAGATATTTGGCCAGAAGTGTGCGGGGTCACTAACTTCTGACCGTTAGGACCAACCCGGTTTCGGACGGCCGAACACTTAGCCGCAGTGGTTTGGGCATGCGGGTCCAGCCAATACGCCTTCAACCCGTTCCAATAGAAAGTGGACATGGAGCTCGGCTTTGCGTCGTCTCCATCGGTCTCCCACTTCTGCTTCCAATTGGAAACGGTGTTGACTAGGCGTTTCTGCGCCTTCAGCCGGAAAGCTTCGCGGACCGTCTCGTTGATCCCGATGTCCCAGTTCCACCGTTGCTGCAAAAGAAAACAAAAAATTATATAAACAATATAAAAGTAAGATTAATTAAATTTAAAATAATTTAAAATGATATAAATAAGATTTAAAAAACATTACCGCGAAGCACTTGTACCAGGTGTCGAACGTCTCTTGCGACACCTTGCTCCAGTTGTAGTGCGGCTCAACGAAATGACTCTTAATTGTGTCGGAAACGCTCCGACCGACACAATTATCCAAGTCAAACCTATGAAACCAAAAAAAAACATTACATTAATATTTAAGAAAATTAAAGCATTAATTTAAAACAATATAAAAAACAAAAAATTTTACTTACCAATAAGAGCCTGGTTCCGCTTTTCCGGGAACCAGACGTCGTAAAGCCCCCCCGTCCCGGTAGGGCTAGTAAGTCCACAACCGTAAATTGGGCATACGGATGAG